ATATGAGATCATGTGATGCTTGTCTTTCTCTGACTTATTTCACTTAGCATGATGCTCTCCAGGTCCCTCCATGTTGTCTCAAGGGGTAAGAGATTCTTCTTTTTTGCTGCTGCATAGCATTCCGTGGTGTAAATGTACCACAGCTTTTTTATCCACTCATCTACTGATGGGCACTTGGGCTGTTTCCAGATCTTAGCTATTGTAAATTGTGCTGCTATGAACATAGGGGTACATATATTCTTTCTGATGGGTGCTTCGGGTTTCTTAGATATATTCCTAGAAGTGGGATCACTGGGTCAAATGGCAGTTCCATTTTTAATTTTTTCAGAGAACTTCGTTATGTCCCCCAGTTATTTAGTGAAAGACCCTTAGCTTATTTCCAGGTCTTGGCTATTGTGAATAATGTAGAGCCAGGGTGGGGTGCAGGGCCTGCCGTACTGCAGGTCTATATGTCACTGGGGAGGCTGCATCCCAGGGGACAGAGAGGCCCTTCTAAGTGACTGTGTCCCAGCACACACTTTCCTCCCAGTCCACCCACAGGTCTTCTGAGAGAGACAGCTGGGCACAAGGCCCTGTGTGAGGAAAAGCTAGTCGAAGGAGACCCTCCACTCCACTTAGAACTTAGTAAAACCAAACAGGGCTGTGAATAGAGAACTTCTGGCTACAAAGGTTAGAGGAGGAGGTCAGGGAAGGCTTCTCGGAGGAGGAGGGCTTTGCAGTCAGTCTTGAGTGAGCCAGTAAATGGAGCCAAGGTGGGAGAAGGCAGACCCTGCAGAGACAACAAGGAGCAAAAGCTGGAGGTAGATGGGAGCGGATGAATGTGGCTGGACTGGAGATCTGTGGCCGGGAGGGAGAGGGATGTGGGGCTCTAGGCGGGAAGTGGACCAGCGCGTGCCTGAGTGCAGGCTAAGCCCTTTCTCCTCTTGCATCCTGGTGGTCCACATGCATGGGGACCCAGAATACTGACTCACACGCTCACTCATTCGAGAAGATCCTCTCAACTTAGATAAAGGGACGCCGCATTACGGAAAGACGTGTTCTGCTAAGGATTGGCTCTCGGGCCAAACACACTTCCAGGTGCCAACTAAATACTCTTATCTCTGCCTTCGCCTCGGCAGACAGCACTTACCAAATCCCTTCTGCCCATCCCCTGGCCGCCCAGGCCCTTTTCTCTGCCCAGGCCTGCCTGCCCCTCTGCCGGTGGCTGCTGCTCTGAGGACAAACGCTAATGATGCCTTCAGCACAGCCCTAGTGTCCTCTGCTTCATTGTCCCAGGCCCCGCTGCCCCTGCCCAGATGGCCCTTGGTCACTGCTTTCCACCCAGACTCACCACAGAACCAGCTGAGCTCCCTCGGCCAAGGGACAGACGTCCAGCCCAGCTTCTGCGGTGTGGCCTCAAACGCCACCCTCCACCCCGGAGACTGGCACCTGTGTCTGGTCACCGGGCGGTGCAGGCATTGCATCGTCTTCAGTCGGGCGTGCCAAGACTACCGTGTTGAAGAGGGCACGGTTTAAGCAAAAGCTTCTTCAGAATACCATGCTCGGTAGCACAGCAAGGAGCCGGTGTGCCCCTTCTCCCGCCCCTCACAGCCCTTTGGTGGTTACTGAGCCCTCCCTGCTCACACACACAGACTTGGCATACCATGAGGAGCCTACGAAGTTTCTTCCCAGGCTCGAGGAGGGTGGTTGGCACAGCCCTGCAGATAACCACGTGCCCTGATGAGTGAGCAGGGGGCGCCCTGGGCTCTTGGATCAGGCCCTTCCTCTGAAGCCGGTGGCTCACCCTCTGGGCTCTGCCCTCCTCAAGTGCCCCCCGAGACTGCAGAGAAGCCCGCCATCTGTCCACAGTGACCTCCCCACCAGCCTTCTTCTTTCTAAGGACGCTTCTGGGTCTGCTCCATGAAAGGAAAGATCTGGCACCCCCGGGAGGCGTCCCGTCTTCCCTGAGCTGCCCACCCTGCTCTGATGAACGTAACCACAGGAGAAGGCAGGGAGGCGGTGGGGAGGGGAGGCCTCGTCCAGGGACTCGGGTGGCTGGACAGCGGCTCGGCTGCCCGGGAAAGCTTACCCAGAGGAGGAAAGGACTGTTGCGCAAGCGAGCTGGGCGCTCGGAGCTGGCCCGCAGGCCCCTGGCATGCGCGGGGCCTGTTAGGAAATCAAGGAGCCGCTCTGTCTGCTTTCCAGCAGGCGCCACTTCTTTTTCCACTGCTTTGCTCAACTCACGGCCTGGCTCCGGGGCCAGGCTGGCGGTGGGCGGGCAGGCGGGCATCCTCTGCCACAGGCCCGGTGCCTGCGAGCGCCTGCTCTTGCCTCGGCTCGTGTTGTCACAAGCGCCCGGCCGAGACTGCAGAATCATGCTGATAAGACCAGCCGGCTCGGAGGCCATCTCCCAGACCCTCGGGGAAGGATTCCAGACTACTTCCTTCTGGGTTGAGCGTCACTGTCCTTATCTCCTTTCCTGCCAGGCGGGGACTCCTCACTAGTCACACACAAATGAAAACCCCACCCCGGACCCCAGACAGACAGCTCCACATCCTTGCAGGGGGAGGGCTTGCCCCTGGCTCCGTTCAACCTATCGGTCGGTTGGTCTGGGGAGCAGGAAGTGCGCATTGAGATAATATTATAAATTTGATCCAGAAGGGGGCAGGTTGAGAAGGGCGTCCAAAAATCGGAGTCGCCTTGGTGTCTGCTGTGAAAGCTCTTGGACCTGTCAATCAATTGAGATATTTCTTGGAGGAAAAACAAGCAGGGGGTGGGCCAAAGGCCAATCGCTAGGTTCAAGGGCAACTGGGATAGAGAGGGGGGCCCTTCGGGGGCTGAGTAAGAGGAGTGGGGTGGGAATAAGAATGAGCGCAGGCACGGCCCCTCCCCTGGGCGTCTTGCAGGCCTGAGAATTGCCATTTCATGGAACATGGGACCTGGGGGATCGTCGTGGGGAAGTGGGAATGTGGGATGTCAGCTGGTGGCCCGGCTTCCGGGGCTCATTGCGGTGAGAACTGAAAGCAGACCCCCGCCTTGCGACTCCTGACTCTGTCCCAGGCTTGGCGTTCCTCCTCGGGAGAGGAGAGCCGTCCGCCCCAGGCACGCAGGCTTGCTTTGGGGCTGTGCTTCCTGGAGGCAGAGGGCTGGCCCCATTGACCCCTCAAGGGCTCATCCAAGCCCCCGGTGGCTGACTGCTACGGGCGAGTTGCTATGGGGACTATAACTTTGAATTTCCTGGCTCTGGGGCTGTGAAAATCACAGCCTGAACCTTCCGTTGATGTGGGTTTCTAGATTAATTTCCTGTGTGATTGTTTACTTTAGAGAGCGGAAAATGCCTTTGCAGGCAGCTCGTTCCCTCCACCAAGACGCTCGTCACGCCCTCCCCCACAGCAGCAAGGTCAAGTCCAGGACTCAGTGGGCGGAGGTGGGGAGCCAGGGGGTGGGACCAGGGACCAGGGGTGGGGGCGGCACTTGTAAGAGCAGATGGCAGCCTGGGGCCCCCTCCCCTGCCCTGCCCTCTCCTGGTGCCAGCCGAGGGTCCCAGCCCAGTGACCTGTGAGTTCAAAACTGCCTGTTGTGGGCCATCTGCCCACCACCTGCGCCCCAGGTCAGGCTCCCAGCCAGCCCAAAGCCCTCCCCTGTCTCAGGGAGCTGTTTTGTGCTGAGTCAGACACAGAAGGGAGTCATTCCTTCAGAGGGGTGTCCAGAGGGTACTGTGAGGGAGCTGCTGGTCCCAGGTGCCACCGGACACCCAGTGCCTCCAGGCTGGGCACTGCTGGCCGAGCTCCCCAGGGAAGCTTAGAAAATAACCGCTCTCCCCCGGGCCCCGCTGCTGCAGCCGAGAGCAACGGACAGTGTGCCCGGTACCATAACCGTCCTGTTCCTGGCTCCGTCCCTGGGGAGCAGTTAACGCTCAGGCTCACGCCAGGCTTGGCGGCAGGTGTCACGGTCTCCTGCCATGTTGATCACCTCTCGCCAGGATCCTAGTAGGGCTGCTTTGTCACCTTCAGAGCCCTGCCACCCCACCTGCGAAACCCGCAGAGAGGCAAGAGCACTAACCCCCTGCATACATGGGGCCCCTGCGGCAGGAGGAGGGGAGGGGGACCAGGCTGGAGGTCTCCCGACCCGTCAGATGGTACCTGGGGTAAGGTCTCCCAACCCCCTCACCGCCCCTTCCTTTGTCGAGGTGACTACATAAACACCACTTTGCGGAGCAAAAGGAACCCTAGTCCTAATCACTTTGGGATGCGGGGTGAAGACCAGAATCATCCCAGGCAACCCCGGGGTGGGGGTCACCGCCTTTTTCTGTCCTCTCCTCACTGGCCTTGATGATGTGGGCCTCCCTCGTGAGGCAGTGGTCCTGCCACCTGACTGTGGAGGCAGATGAGACCTGGGTTCCACTCCTGGTTTTCCTTTCCCGTGTGTCCGTGGGGAAGTCATGTCCTCCGCGCCTCATGCCTGCAGCTGTGGCATGAAGACCCTACCGTGGCGTCGGACTCAGATGAACTGGTAGAAGGGTGACACGGATCTTGATGTGTGCATACAGCTCAGCACACGAGCCAGAGCAAACACTCAGAATGTCAGTCTCAGGAGACCCCTCTTTTTTAAAAAATAATATATTTTTATGGATTTCAGAGAGGAAGGGAGAGGGAGAGAGAGATAGAAATGTCAATGATGGGAGCGAATCATTGATTGGCTGCCTCCTACACAGCCTCTACTGGGGATCCAGCATGCAACCCGGGCATGTGTCCTGACTGGGAATCGAACCATAACCTCCTGGTCCATAGGTTGACACTCAACCACTGAGCCACGCCAGCTGGGCAGGAGACCCTGAGGGACAGGTAAGGCCTCGGGGCTGCCTCGGGCGTGTTCTGCTTGCCCTTTGGGAGAGGTTCGAGCAGACGGGGGCAGTGGGCACGGAACCAGCCGACAGGACAGGCAGCTCCTGGAAGACTTCCCTCAGGGAGGCCGGGAGGTGTTGACAGTGGTCACGGACAACGGCCCCAGAGTTTCAAACCCAACCCAAGGTCCTGGGAGCTCATGGCTGTGGGGACTCCGTGAACAGAACTGGCCTCCTGTCCAGGCTCCTGGCCAGGGCTTGGCCCCGAAGAAGAGCCACTGGAGCCGGGGTCCTCTGGCTCCAGTATCTGCAGGATTCAGTGTCTTCTCTGATCCCCGGATTACGTTTCCACCACCCCGCCCCCCGCCCCCCCGGGGCCAGCTGTGGGTTGAAGCATTCCCCCATGTGACATTTACTGTGGCCACTTTGTACGCGGCGGTTTGCAAGCTCGGCAGGAAGGAGGCTAATTATTGCCGCCGGGGCGCCTGGTGCGCAGTTAGGGTGCCTGCCCGCCTGCCCGCCCTAGTGAGGAGGGCTGGCAGCCAGGCCACAGGGCACAGCTTGGACCGAAGTCCAGGTCACAGCCATGAATTTCCTTGACATCTGACCATGGCCACCGCACTGGGGCCTATTAGGCTAGTGGAAAAGTGACATTTGGGGCGGATTTCCCTCTCCTGGCACGGAGTGATGGTAATAATGAATGTAAAGCAACACTAATTCTGTTGTTTGGCTGCAGGCTGCGCGGCCTGAGCATCACACATGTACCGTGTTCACAGCCCCTCCTGGCCATTCCAGACTTGGCCTCCTCTCTCTGAGTAACCCCCTCTCTCCTGCATTCTGCCCACTCATCTCTGCCACTAGCCATCAAACATGCTCAAGTGTCTCCCGCGTTAACCACCACTCCCCTTGACCCTTTGCCAGTCTTTCTCCTAGCATCTTACCCTCTTCTTTTCCGTAGGCAAGTTCCCAAAAAAGAATGAAAAAGAGAGGGAGAAACAGAGAAGAACAGAAACCCCAAAGAAAAAGAAAGAAATGGTGGACTCTTTCAGTCTCCATTTCCTGACCACCCTCGCCCTCCAACCCCACCTCACCCAGGGTTCCACCTGCCCCTCCCCCTGCACTGACGTCCTCATGGCAAAGGTCACCCGTGGTCTCCTAATCACCCTATCCAGAGAGCCCTGGTCATTGTCCATCTTCCTTGACCTCTCGGAGAACTTGACACTGTTGACCTTGTCCTTCTTAGAACTTTCTTGGTTTCTATGACATCACTTCTTCCTGTTGCTCTGGGCTTTCTGACCGTCCACCTCCACCTCTGGGGGTTCCTCCTCCTCTCCCTGCTTTAGATGTTGTTCTTTCCCAGTCTGGAGCCTTTATCAACTCTTCTCTTCTCATGTATTCTGTCTTCCCCCAGGACATCTCACACTCACACCCATGGCCTTGACTAACGCCTGGGCACTGAGGATCACAAATAGCCAGCCCCCCACTAGTCATCTTCCCTGATATCCTCGGGGACTGTAGACTCAATATTTCTGACACTGAACTTATTTGCCCTCCTCCAAACCAACGCCTCCTGCCTTCCTAGTATCCTTGGTGACATCGCCATTTATCCAGTTGACCAAGCCCTAAACCTGGGGGCTGTCCATCTTCAAGATCGTCCTTGTCCTCACCCTCACTTCTGCCCCCTAAACACACCTCCTCCCATTGCCTGCCTCAATTCAAGCATCAATTCATAATTTCTCATCGCAGCAGCCTTCCTGGTCTCCTTGCCGCCAGTCCCACCTCCACCCTACCAGCTCCAGTCCATTCTCCACGCTCTGCAGGAAAGGATGTTTTGAAAATGCAAATATTATCTCCTACTCTCCGGTTTAAAATCTTTCAGTGGCTCTCTAGTCCCTTAGGATAAAATTCAAACTAGTAGCACGGCATCTAGAGCCTTTTAGGATGTGGCCCTTGGCTCTTTACCATCGTGTTCTCTCTCTCCCCGCAGCACCATATATTTCAGCATCTTGAAGTACTTGTTATTCACCAGTGCACCCTGCTAGTCGACATTTTTAGCTTTTGTGCATATGCCATATGTTGCTTCTTATGCCTTATGCCTGGCGTGTTCACCACCACCACCAGCCCTCCTGTGTTCCAACGCCACATGCCTAGCACACTCTCTTGATTTCCCCCTACTAGACTATACGTTGCAAGTCTTATAGTCTTGTTAATCTCTATACTTATACAGTATTTAGCACATAGTAGGTGTTGCATAAATGTTGTTGGAAGGATGGATCGATGTATGGATCGATGGATGGATGGATGAAGTATGTGAATGGATAGATGGATGGATAGCTAGATGAATGAAAGAATGGATGATGAGCCCTGGCTGGGTAGCTCTGTTGGTTAGAGCATCGTCCTGATACGCTAAAGTTGCAGGTTCGATCCCCAGTCAGGGCACATACAAGAATCAACCAGTGAATGCGTAAATAAGTGGAACAACAAATCGATGTCTCTCCTCCCTCTCTTTTTCTAAAATAAATTGGTAAATAAAATCTTTTTTAGAAAAGAATGGATGGGGGATGGAAGGTTGGATCTATGATGTGTGGGTAGACAGAAGGATGGGCAGATAAGTGGATACATTGGTGGACAAATTGTTGCATGGGTGGGTGAAAAGATGGATGAATAACTTGGTGGGTGAGTAAGTGGGTGTACAGATGGGTAGGTGGATAAATGGGTGAATGGGTAGATAGTGGCCAGTGCAGCCACAAAATAGGTAAAAATCATTTCGCTTTTGTGAAGACCCGGGTTGATTATTGTCACCAGTCAACAAATTAAGACTTACGAGCTCCAACCAGGAAAATATGAGTTAGCTAATGTGGGAGAAATGAAAATAATTCTCCAAGAAAGAGGATGCTGACCCAGGACTTCTGTGCACCTTTTAGATCTTCTCAGACTTGCTGTCTGTCTGGCTTGTTTCAAGACACTGAACTGCTGAGCCTCGGATTCTCTGCATGATTCAGTGGAGATAGCAGTGCCTGTGGCCTTTCCCTATCTCTGCGAGAGTCACGGGGGTGCGCGGGACGGTGCGTACAAAGTGTGGCAAGGCCTTCGGGGAAGATCCGTGCTTGTGAAGATACACATTTAATAACAGTAATCACACCTTGTATTTGAGTCAGGCTTTGTACTCTTCAAAGCTCTTTCACGTACGTTATCTCAGGAGGCTCTCCAAACAGTTCTGGGCAGGTGTTATCCCCATTCTCGAGCGAGGAGACTGAGGTGCAGGGTGACTAAGTGACAGGGTTCCTGTCGGTGAGCAGCGCGTCTGCTGGCTCGGAGCCTGCTGCACGCTTGGCTGGCAGCCTGTTTCAGACAGACTCCCCACTTCTCTGCCTCCTGAAGAGCCCCGGGCACTCCTGGCCCTCTTCTTGCCGACTCAAGCCCGGTATCGGTTCGGTTCCTCTAGATTTAGCTGTAGATGCCGATCCAGGTGCAGCAGGGGAGCAGCAGGGAGGGGCCCAGGCTCATACGTGAGGGCGCTCCTGAGGGGCAGGTGGCCCTGTGCAGCTACCCCCCCAGCCCCGTGCCAAACCGCGTGCCATGCATCGGGCACCTCCTTTGCCTCTGCCGATTATCCTCCCTCCTCTTTCTCTCCATCAGCCTCGCTGCCCATCGCTGTGGCCTCCTGGGCCAGTGCAGTCCTCCACCTCCCACCCCGTCTCTTCCTTCCCTCTCCTCTTCCTGCGACTTCTCCCACACTCAGCCTTGGCCCTTCTGCAGGCTCAGCCAGCCAATCAGAGCTCTGGATTGTTCCCCAGAAACCAGCCAATGACATGCACTCTGAAATCTCCTCACTTTTGCTCCTTTGTTGCTGCCCCCAGCCCACCCTGGGCTACCCCCGAGTGCTTTTGCGGTGGCCGTGTTAGGCTGCTGGGACTGGTTCTACGAGGCTGAAATCATGCTGTCGGTGAGCTGCGTGGTCAGGGTGGGCTAGCCCACCTGCCTCAGGTCAGCACTCACTCCTCACCGGTGAGAGAAGAAGCTGTCGTCTCCAGCGCTCCCTTGCCTCCCACACACGAAGGCAGCCCCATGGGCCCTTTCCGTCAGCACCCTCTTTCCCTCTCCACGGGGTGGCATCCCAAGCAACCAGCCCGGCTCCATCCTGGGCATGCCTTGGGCAGCATGCCCATGCCCTGTGGACCTTCCGTCGGGGACGCTGGGATGCTCCCACCAGGCCGCCTTTCTCCCCAGTTGCTGTCGGGCCTCCCACAGCCTGACTCCAAGCACCTTGGCCTCTCCCCGAGGGAGGATGTGATGGGTGTGCCCACAACAAGTCTCCGGCAGAGACAATAGGACAGGAATGCATTAGCTTCCGAACAAACACTGTGTGGGCTCGCACAATTGCCTTGGATTCTCGTCCAAGAAACACATTTCACTGTTCGAGGGCGAGGGTGGCTGGCCTGCCCCAGCCCGCCCACGCCCCTCTCTGTGCCAGAGACTTTGACAAGTAGTCTGCTCCTTCCCCCACCCCAGGGTCCTCAACCCCCAGGGCGGGCAGCCCTGCCTTCTCCAGCGGACGGAAGGCTTTTCTTCCCGAGAGCGATGGCAGAGGACAGGGCGGCCTGCCCACCCAGAGTGTCCGCGCCTGCCACCACCTTTTTAAAACACTTTTTTGTCGTAAAATATACATAACGTAAGATGGGTTGTTTCAGCCGTTCTTACGTGTACCGTTCAGGGGCATGAAGTACGTTACTGTTGTTAGGCAACCATCCCCCACCACCCATCTCCAGGGCTTTTTCATCTCCCCAACCTGAAACCCTGGGCCCATCACACAACAGCTCCCAGGACTCCTCCCGCCAGCCCCTGGCACCCACCAGTCCACTTTCTGTCCCCATGAACATGACACCTCCTAGAGGTGGAATCCTACGGTAGTTGTTCTTTTTTTTTAATTTCTTTATTGATTAAGGTATTACATATGTGTCCTTATCCCCACATTACACCCACACA